GCTTGGCAGCGATGTTGTAAAACAAGCCAATTCACTTCGTGAGCTCGGCGACCAGATTACCGCTTTTTTTTGCCTTGTTTATTTTTTCGAACCATGAATGGTGGTCGAGCAGATCAGGTTGTGCGGGGTGAAGAACCCTCACTCCGCGCAAGGGGGATGATCGCACCACGTTGTGTTACGTTGGTCAACCACTCTCGAGGCAGTTACGCAGTGCTTATAACTCTTTCTGGAAGTGAAAGCACCAGAAAATAAACTGAGTCAAACGTAGCTGTCATCCGTACGCAAGGAAGTAAGCACAAGATGCCGAACACCGCGTAGCAGGATGCAGGGTACCCGTCATGCGACTCGCCGAATACCTCACGGCGCTTCGCGCTTAGTGATGTGATAACCTGGTCCTGTGAAAACCCGGCGTGCTCCGTCCCGGCTTTGTAGGGATGCGAGGTCAATGGTCTAACGACTGCGGCATGCACGGCTATGAGTACCCGCCCAACCCCCCCCCCCCGCGTCGTCAATGGTCTAACCGCTAAGGCAGGCAAAACATGAGAGTTCGCCCCCCCCCCCTCTCCCGGGGTAGGGGGCAAACCCACCGTACCTCGTCCAGTGGCCGGGCGCTTTGTAGTCTTTGCGGTACTTGGGAACAGGAGCCGTGGGCGCTTCGGCCATCGAAGCCGTTGACGCCGACAACGAAGTAGCCACCACCATACCCGTCCCAGTGGCGGCCTTCGCTGCCGCACCCCCCCGAACCTGCAAGGACAGCGGGCGTCACGGCGAGTTACTCGCGCCGACGTCGGTGCACGCGGTTGTGCAGGGGTTGGCGAAGTTGTCGGCACCCACGAGACGTATGTACGTAAGGGTAGAAACACCCAAAAGTATGGAGCTGGACCTCGCCTGAACTTCCAGCAATAGAGGATTACGCGCGTGCGGTCATTTGTGACAGGGAGAATGGATGGGTGACAGCAGTCGACCCCAGNCCCCCCCCCCCCACGGCGTTTGGCAAGAAGAGTCTTTGGCAACACAAAATCCCATCCTACATTGCATCACGATGTCGGAGGACTTTTAAATGAATATGTGACTTCAGTAACAGTCGGCTCTTGGCAGGCCTTTTCGGAAGCGCATCTCAACGCTGTTGGAATGTGGCTCATGTACCGATAGTGTGAATGTGGTCCAAGAAGCAAAGAGAAACACACAAAACATGTACCAGCACAAAACGTGTATCGTGTGAACGCTAAAAGGGGGTAGACAGGCGGGACATCGGTGGATCAAGCGACGACACGGGTGCCGTAAATGCGTCAGGACATCCCCCTTCCGTACTACACGCGCGAAACAACTCAACCCCGCACCCTCAAAATCACGGTGTTGCAACAAGCAGTAACGCTGCTTCGTCTGTGCTTTGCCCCGGCGGTTTGCAAGCAGCGCCATGAATGCCAAGGTCGAAATCAAAAACCAATTCTACACTCCAAACAACCGTGCAAATCACGAGTTGCTCAGTCCCCGTTACCCCCCCCCCTCCCCCCACTTACTTACCCTAAGCCCCCCCCCAGCGGAAACCCAGCGTGTCTTCGGCGACAGTCTCGAGGCCGCAGATGTCGACATAGCGGGCCCTCTAGACGCGGCGGCGGCGCGTGGGGTGGTCCAGAAGGCGGCCCTGCGCATCGTCGAGAAGGAGGCCGGGGAGGCTAGCGCGGATATCCCGGCCGCGCACGGTATCCTAAAAACGCGCGGATGGGGCGACGGGGGTTGGTTGGTTTCGTTGTTGGTTCGTGTGTAGCTGTAGTACGGCCGGAGGTGGTCTTCGTAGCTGCTGCATGGGCACGCTGTCTAAATAGGTGGAGACTGCGATTGTAGCGCCGGTAGTTCTCGCATTGCTCTACCCAAGGGTCACTCTTCTAAATAGGCGGAGGTTGAAACAGCACGAGTAGTAGTACTTCCATCACCGTTGCTGTGCCCAAGGGTAGCTGCCGATGCTCGTGTAATTGTGTCATTTTCGCGCGGTTGTCAACTCTCTCACGACTTACTTATTCGTCGCTTTTGAGGGCCAATTTTGTTCTACCTTGTGTCTGTTCTTGCACGAGACCAGCGAAGCTCATGCATCTTGTTTCAAAACAGAACGACGTGTGCATACATATGCACAGAGATACCGTGCAAAGTCGCGGGGGGATGACCGCGAGAAAATGGCCCGGCCCTCCACGCGTTGTCGGTGTTCGTATCGATGAGTCACTGCCGGAACGCTGGTCGAGTGGCGTTGGGGAGGCATAGTACCAAGGGCCCCTCGGTGTAGCAAGCATGGAACAGCCGCAGGCTGGTGTTGCGAAAAAGTCGTGAAGAATTAAACCCGAGCTGATGTTAGGGTTGACTTACTTGGGTGTCAACTAAATTGTCTAGCAACGTAATACGCACATGAGCGCGCCAAGACAGAATTTCAAAACGCTCTTTTGCTGTTCCTCACCTACCGAGCGACGAGAAACCTACCCGACAAGTTCTAATAGCGTTGTGTAGAAGGGAAACTACTGTTGCTAGGTGCCGTGTGTGCGAGTTGGTTCTTGATGCTGGGCAGGACTATGTTTGTTCAATCGAGGAAGAACCCCGCGTGGTGGCTTTCACGACAACCGTACTTCAACTCTGGGCGTGGACTACCCGCGCGTGAGGACCAAACTCGCGAATTGCTTGAACGCGCCTTGTGCGTTCGTTGGCAAGCAACATAGAGTTGACATAGAGGTAGCTTGGCATCGACATCGATTCCACGGCGACGCATACGCTAACAGCAGTAGTGCCGAGTATCGGTTTTTCCGATGTTCACACCGGTGGCCGATATTTTGATTTATCGGTCGATCGATCCTGATCTTGGTCAATTACCGCAAGGTCACACAACATATGCACACGCGTATGTGAGTGCGGTGTGTGTGTGTGGGGGGGGGGGGGGGTGATAGTGGTTGCCGAGGGCGTTTCTGTTGTTGCTATCATCAGGGCTGAAGCAAGCGTAGTACAGCTTGCAGACCTTGAGATTGTGGTCTATCGGTCCAGANGGGGGGGGGGGGGGGGGGGGGGGGGGGGGGGGGGGGGGGGGGGCGCCGTAGGTATCCATTGAGGGACCCCGTGTTTTTCGATAAATAATCGCCGATTTCGATCTCGATTCAGCCGTGACTCAAAACATAAACATGTTGTGTAGGTGGTGGACAATTCACCAGGGGGGGGGAGCATTTCCGCGCCTGCGTGGGTCATTCTTCCGCCGGCCAATTATAACCTTCGAGACAATGCTAGTACATGTAGCGTTGTGTCATGCTGCGGCTGTAGTCCTATTTGCTAGGCATCGCCAACACCCGGCCGGTGATTGGTTTGTTTATCATCTGGTTTTAACAGGGCTTGCTGAGTACTGATACCTACTACCTGCAGATACCAACCAGCAAGCGGCTGCTGTAGACCCATTTGACAAGACCACAACGTCTTCACGGGACCCATCGCACAAGGAGCAGATTAGATACGTTGTAGATGGGCTCTGGATACAGCTTCAAGCTATGCATAGGATTGATGTATCCTGCTGTTGATTAGGGGAAGTGTTTGATTTGATTGCCGCATGTGATAGCATGATATGGATAGCAGTAGGCAGACCGGTAGTACATCCGCCGTCGGAAGGATCCACCGCTGCATGGCTAACATCAAGATATCTACAAAAAACGTGTAACCTACAACCAGCTTGCGCACTTGCCGCCGCGAATGCCACGGTCCTCGCTGCTTCGACAGACTTCCGCCGAGTCAGTGAGATCTCGCAGCTGTTTCATGCCGCGACGCATCAACATCAATCAACGCCTTAGTGTTGCTGTGTACCCTTCCCGAAATTGATTCATGGACGTACACACGGTCTGGGTAAAGGTAGCCTCTTGCTGGGCCCTTCAGCGGTCGCAGTTTGTGGTTCGCTGTTGATAAATTCCGCTGGTAGGATATTCAATACAGGCGTTCCGATCTTTCATGTGTGAAAGGCAGCGTGCGCGTGTGGTCGACCACACCGCTACAGCAGTAGTATCGAATCACAGCACGGGCCGTAACACAGCTGCAACCATGCGAAAAAAAAAGATAAGCTATATCCTCCCGATGATGCAACACTGGCAGATGAGGCACAGCACGCGCACCGCTTTCCCCAGCAGCCATGCAGCATTTCGCAGACACCGACAGCTCTTCACAACCGAAGGACACTGAGCGTGGCTAATGAGCTCACCATGCATGCACGTGTCTACAGCAAAGCCGCAGGCATGCAATGCATACGCAACAGCACACACACACACCTCGTTGGCTTCCTCGTCAGAGAAGAAGGTGCCGTCCTGACGAGCGTCGGGAGCAGAGTCGATGAGCCCATACGGGCTGCAAACGCGTGCATGGGTTGGGGCGAGAGAGCTCCTATCAGAGCGAACAGCGCCGTCGCTGACTTCGTCTCCATCTTAAGGCGGTCGTGCGCAGGTTACGCAGCACTCCGTGGCAAAGAAATCAATTCCACAATTTCACATGGGGGGTGTCGTGATTCGTGCCGATTGGAGCGCGGGGACTACACCAGCCCCCCGTTGCCCGTTACTGCTGGGCCGGGACGCCGTGCACGTGGCCCACTCACCAGTCACCGCTGGCGTTGTGTACTTGATCTCTCTTTCCTAGGCTGAGTATCCCACATCAGCAAGCATGGTGAGTGATGGCCTAGGTGACAGTGCTGCCACTGTGTGCTCAGCAACAAGCAATCCAAGCTAAAAATAGTTCAAGGGTGCCGTAGGAGCAGCGTACGGTCAACATCAATACACCAGCGAACAGCGTGGTTGTTCCTGCGTCTTTTCATTGCACGTATGTACAGCAGTGGTCGTTGTAGTGAGGTGTGTTAAGTAGCTGTCCCGGTTGCTTTGGAGCTGAAGGCTCTTACACCGCCACGCAATACATCCTGCCCAACCGAACACATAATAAAGTGCAGCGTGTTCAAAACCGGGGTATTAACGGACACCTAAGCCGCTCTCACGCCCACAGCTCGTTCTCGGGTGTGAGAACGAATTTGAAGTGTATGGACGTATCCAGCTGTAGCCTATGTCATAGGCTACCTCTCAAAAAAACAAAGATGAAACACCCTAAGTGTTGATGAGTTATGGCTGTTGCGGTGTACCTGAAGTCTTACCGTAAAACGGAGGATAACACCCCCGGCGCCAATTAAGGGACACTTTGCATTTAGTAGTGATTTCTCACGTTCTACTGCATTTCAAAACTTATCCTTTGGCACGCACCGTGGTGATCGTAATATCATACCAAGCCATTGGGAAAGAAAGAAAAAAAACGCCAATGTTGTTGTTGTTGTTGTCTTCACATTAAAAACCATCCCGGTCTCTCTATCCAGTACCTCCTTCTGTCTCAATCTCTCCGTACTAATCCAGCACTTCACTCGGTCAATTTCCGTGGTCACAGGCTAACGTACGTAGAAAAGGTATACCAAAATAAAATGGACCCCAAGGGTTAGCAGAGCGATAAAATACAAGGAAACAAAAGAATCAGAAACAAATAAATAAATAAATAGTGGAACGTGCGCACCACCAGCCTGGGGGGTAGCCTTCCGGAAGGACCCCAAGGGTCAACATCAACAGTACGTGCCAGTGAAAAAACCAAAACAAAAACGACAGACAATATACGGGGACAAAAACGAGGAATCCCCTTGTTTCTTGGGCCTGTTTTTGGGCCGAATTAGGCCCACTTTCGGCGTCGTGCCAAGAGGTTGGGAGCGTTTTCTTTCTCGTTTTTCGTTCAGTGTCGTGGCAAGCAACCCCAGAACAGACGTTATGCAAAGATTTGGTTCCATCGGAGTTGGTTTCGTCTCTGTATGGCATCCAGGCGCTATTTTTGGCCCCTTCCTCGCCCGAATTCGAGCTAGGAAAAGAAGAAAAAGCGAAAAAAAAAGTAGGAGCAAAAGATTACCGGAAGAGAGGCTCGAACTCTGTACCACAGAGTGTCGTCCAGGGCTACACCACAAGACTACATCATGGGTTATGGCTGAGAAAAATAAAATCCTATTTTGATTGTAGGGCTTAGCGGCAGCCACCACGTGGGCAGAAAAATGACAAAATTCTACATTTTCTGGGGCCGAATGTTGTTAAAAGGAAGTTAATTGAGCAAACATGAGCTTAAATGAAAGACGAGCTCCATAGCAACACACAATAAAAATTGAACAGCTTTCCGCGGGGTGAGGGGCAAGATATGTTTTTTGAAAAATTGTCCGTTAATGGGGAGTGTCCGTTAACACCCCGGCTACTCTAATTGGGGTTGTTTCACCCCTAGCCCCGGTGGTCTAGTGGTATCCTCGTCATCCGCTAGTCGCAGAGATCGTGAGTTCGAATCGAAGCCCCACAGGGTGAAAAATTTACGAATTTTGCGAGTGAAAGCGTAATATAGCCTGAAAGCTCTCGTAAGTACCAAACTTCGACGTTAGCACCGTTGACGAGGGAAAGGGATGACTGGACCCTTCTCGAGATAAAAATAAAAATTCAGCACGCACCGCGGGAGGAAGGTGGGGTATGAAAAGAAATAAAAAGAAGAAAAAAAAACCCTGGTGTTTACCCCCTCCCGTGTGACCCTGGATGGTTGTAAGTGTACGAAAAAAAACACTGAAAAGTGTAGTAATCTACATACGCTGGATAGTGCAGTATACGTCTCACCACGAAAAATGGGAGGACTGTCGCCATAATAAAAAGGACGAAAACACACACACACACACACACACACACACACACACACACACATACACACACACACACAAACACCCCTTGCCATCTCGCGGCTCGCGGCAGGTCCGCCGTCGTTTCGTCGTTCAAATTGCGCTTTTCGTGCGATTCATCTCTTACTGCACTGCTGATGTAGCCAGGCTGTAGCATAGACACAAGGGTCACCCCGGTGGTCTAGTGGGTATCCTCGCAGCCTGCTAAGGGCCAGGTCATGGGTTCGAGTCCCGACAGAGTGAGTTTTTTCTCGCTAATTAAATCCTGGTCTCCGTTGGAAGC